GGTTAGGATAGATATATAGTTACATTCTCTTAATGGATAGAGGGATTTGTTCTAATGGTGTTTGTAAGTAGGATATCACGTCCGCATCTTGTACAGCTATTAACCACTAGAAGAATGTATGCAATGTGTTAATTATTGAAACTGTCCTAGCAATTTGATTTGAAACTGTCTCATTGCTATTTGTTTCTCAATAAAATTATGGAAAAAATTTTAAAAAGATTATTACAATGAAAAATTAGAACAAATTAAATGCCTAGAACATAAGAATGATGAAATATGATGTACCCTATGTAGCTTATTACTCATATCTTTAAAAAAATCAATTTTTTCAGAGTAATTAATGACCTAAGAAAATATGTACTGGAGAATTTTAAGTGAAATAATATGTGTAGGATGCTTTTAGGATTTGATCCCAATTAAATGATAAATCTCAATTATAACAAAAAATAAAAATAAAAAAAATAAAGTAAATGAAAAGCTTTCCAGAAGCATGACAGGTGAGGTCCAAGAAATAACAGGGAAGAGCAGGTCTCCCGGGCACTGAGGCACAGCCAGGTGTCCCCTGTGCCTGGTCCTCTTATCAGGATGAGTCAGGCCAGACAGGATGGACTCTGCTCCCATGAGGAATGAACCTACATCTCTACACTCAATGGCCAAGACTCACCTTTCTCTCCCTCTCAGGAAGCTGCCGTGTCCCTGCCACACTTGAGGACCAGACAGCCAGTGCAGCTTGTGTCTGGAACACTGCTGGCTGCTATGTCACAGGGAAGCAAAGCTGTGGTCAGAAGTGAATGTGCCACTTCTTTTCATACTCTCATGACCAAAGCAAGTCACAAGAGGCAGAAAGGAAGCCTCCTTTCCTCCACAGAGGGTGACAATGTTTTTAAAAAATGATTTTTTTTCTTTTTTTTTATATTTATTTTTTTTATTGAGAAATAAGTATGAATGAGACAGTTTCACAGCTGATTAATAGGACAGTTTTGATAGTCAATACTCTGTATATTTTTATCTTCTTAGTGGTTATCCATAGTATAAGAAGCAGACTAAAAAATGATTTTAGAGGCAAAGGGACCAGGTTTGATCCCCAGTGTGCAGTGCGGGCCCCGCCCCCGGGACGAGATGAGCCAGTGACTGAGCCTGGGCATGGTCCTGTGAGCCTATAATTCCAGTGCTTAGGAGGCTAAAAAGAGGAGTATCATTATGAGTCTAATCTGTGTAGTGAGACCCTGTAAACCCTGTACTAAACAATTTTTAAAAAATGGTTTTCTAAGACATTACATGGGGCTGGGGAGATGCTCAGTAGAATAAGCTCTTGCCTGGCAAGCGCAGGGTCCTATGTTCAATCCCCAGTACCGCAAAAAAAAAAAAAAAAAAAAAAAGACATTACAAAAACATCAGAGTTCTTAAAAAAAGGAAAAAAAAATCAGAGTTCTTATGTACCCTTTACCAAGTCTGCCCTGATAGCAGCATCTTATGTAATTACAGCCAGGGACTGACACCAATTGCAGCCCTCCGATCCCATTTAGAGTTCCTACTTTCACAGACAACATCTGTCAGTTAGCTCTGAGAAATGTACTATAGGTGCAGATTTACGAAGATACAGAAAAGACACAGGATGCACACAGCACTGCCCCCCACTTCCTACCCTTGCCAACCACTAATCTGCTCTCCAATCCAGAATGCTAGTATACAATGGGAAATGCATGGTATGCCCACTCTGAGGCCGGCTTTTCACTCACATGACATCCTTGAGGTCCTTCCCATCTGCTGTGGCCAGGGTTTGCTCCTTCTGGTTACAAAGCTGTCCCCAGAGTGTGTAGTTAAGAAGCCGGCACGCTCCTAGCTCTGCTTCTTGGTTATGGAGCTGGGTTATAGGTGGTGCTGTTACTCCCTCAGGCAGGGTGCGCAGGGCTCCAGGCCACATTCCCATCCCCTCTCTGGGAAGGGCAAAGAGGAGGAAAAACCCAAGAGGCACTTAGACACCAGTCCTTAGATTATCAATTCATTTCACAGAGGCTAGTCAGGACTCTGAGGGCCTGGAGCAGGACTTGGGCCGCAAAAGTCCTAGGGTGCTCCTGTCACCTGTTAGGGCATCACGGTTCACTCAGCAGGAGCCCATTTTAAGGGCACCTGTGGCCGAAGGCAGAGGCCAAGGTCCTATCTAAGTCCCGAGGCCTGGGCAGACTACTATGTGTTGTTTCCTTGTTTTTCACATTCTGTATGTTGAATGAGAAGAGTGAAACAGGTAAGTTCTAAGATTTCCTTCAACTTAACTCCATGGATTTGGACTCACAGAAGAAACTCAAGCTCATCAAAGAATAATAAGCTGTACCTTTTATTTTGAAAATTTAAAAAAAAAATAAGGAAAGAAAATTAAGTCAAATGGCTATTTGGAGGTGGGTAGGAAAGATTATAAATTTTCAATCAAAAGAAAATACAAAGAAGGAAATGGAACTGTCACCCAGGGCCCTTTATTGTATTACATCACAAACTGTACTTAGGTTCCACACTCCAGCGCAGAATCATAGTTCACGTAACAGCGAAACTCATTTGCCAGGTTTCGGGTGTGTTTGGGGACAAACGCACACATCCTCACTCCCAGGAGCTGTGCTGCGGGCGCTTCCATGACGGCACCTGAAGAGGACAGACACTGTGAGCCCAGAGCCCGCAGGCCGGCCTGTGCTAAGGTGGGGGAGGACTGCAGATGGAAACACTGGAAGCAGCGGCATGGGCACCGCTCGACACACTGGGGCGCGTCTCTTTCTAGTCCCTTTTACCTCCCCCCACACTTCTTTCAGATTCTTTTTTAGCTAATAACTATCTTTTACTTGTATTTCTTGTTTTTTAGTTAATAAATGACTTTCAAAAGCTGAGCCACTCAGCTATTTAGAAGTAGAATATCTTCCACAAGGGAACATAAGGAAGGTACAAATAATTACTAAAAATTGTGATACCCCATGGTGAGCCAAGAATTTTTCTGGCACTTTTTCTAACCTTGCTAAGTGGATGGCTGGACCTACCCGCACGGCTTCTGGTCCTCTTCCCAGCTTCCTCCCAGCCCAGTCCCCCCACATCTACACAGCAGGAAGTGCAGGCCAGAACCAGGAGCCCAGTTCTTGTACATTCTTCCCTTCTGCACTCAGAACACAGTGAGTTCATCTTTTATTGTTTTGCTTTTTGAGAAAGAGTCTCTATGTAGGCAGACTGGCTTTGAACGTGCCATCATCCTATCTCAGCTCTCTTGATTTTGTCTGGCCCAGACTCCTGGCACCCCTGGCCAGACCCCAGCACCCCAGCCACCTCCCTGAGCCCAGACTCTGCCCTTGAGCATGAGTGATTCTTGAAACCAGCACGACCTCTTTCTTCCATGACACTACAATCAGTGCGTAAATTCTTTAGTGTGTTTGGCCAGTTTTTAAAAACATCCTCTGAAACTACAAGGTTGGGCTCCCTGACCATTATGGAGGAGTAGTAAACAGTAGTTGAATGAACAAATCTCAAAAAGTCACAATTGTATGAAAAAAGAAGAGCATTTTTAGTTCTTAAACTTTGCATCTACTGTAACAAAGTATATCAATTGTACCCATAAGAAAATTATTCTAGTTTAATAATCCTAAGGTAGCTCTATAACCTTAAGAAATTTAATTAATCGTACAGATTCCATTTCTCATTTAATACACAGCTGGATCAGATACTCTGCTACTGATGCTGCAGCTGAAACAAAAATCACAGCCCTGTAGTAAGTACTGAGTGTGTTACATCACCTGACTCACTATAAGTACAGTCAGAAATAAGGGAGCTGAGGAAGTAACTCTCTTCTATCCATTTAATTCCAAATAGCACCCTACAGCCATTTCTTCTTCCACTGTTCAAACAGGTAGAAAACAAAATAACAAAACCCAGTAAAGGGCCAGGGAGATAGCTCAGCACGTAAGTGCCTGCCTGGCAAGGACAAGGTCCTTAGTTCAATCCCCGGTACCAAAAACCCCGTGAATCGCTGTGATCTAGGGGAGTGCACATGCATAGTAGATCTCCTAGCCAAGCTTCGGTCCTCTTTACCCCACTCCTACCTCATCGATCCTTTTATGTTTACTGCTCCATTTCTGGAACACCCATAACAATGGAATATAATGAAATTTTTTCTCTTCAAATTCTTGTTCCCATAAATAGGTCCATACATGTGTACTACATGTCATACATTAAGATGAGAGTGAATTCTGGGATAAGCATGCGTGTTGACAGCCTCGGAGACGACTTGGCATGCTGTCATTCGTGTTGGTCACACCGAGTGATTCAGGAGGTACCTGGGCTGAGGTGCATATCCTTTGAACTCTGAGAGCCAGACTCATCCGTGCACTGCTGCTGTTGCTGTGTGCTACAACCATATGTGGCGCTCTCACTTTTCTGTCACTTGGCCCCTTTTTGTCTCTGCCATATCCTCTGTCTACATGGACGAGCCCTGAGCACAGCTTCCTGTGATCTTCAATAAACACAGCTGCTTGCTACTGCGTGTACACTTGGCAATTTGTCTCATCAAACACAAGAGCCTAGACTATATCTGCTTGTGCCACAGTAACACTAAGACCCTTAAAGGCCACAGAAAGATTAAGTGACTTGCAAAATGTCACACAGCGTGTGGTAGATGCAGGATTAGAGCTCTGAGATTTCTTTCAGCTCTTGAAACCACAGACTTGAATGTGAGCTGTCCTGAGGTAAGTGGCACCTACCTGTGCACAGAAGAATCTTGCCTCGGGTCAGGTATTTGATTGTTTCTGAAGTCTTTCTGAGACATTCTTCAGAAAGGTAAGGAGGATCTGCTATTACAATGTCAAAACTATGTGCAGTGATGTTGTCAGGAAAATCCAGTGGATTGTTGTAATCATAGAAGACAAATTCCTCTCCATACATGGCAAATCTCCTGTCATATTCAAAGATGGATACAGAGATGCGGTCTCCATGCAGCTCTCTGAGTGCCTGGTAAACGCTGGGGGCACTGACACATGCTATTCTAGAACACAAATGAACACACTTGGGACAGGTCTTTGACAGTGTGAATTAATGACTTCAACAAAATATAATAGGCCCTGTGTTCACATTTTCTTAAAGGAAACAATGATTAGTAAATTTAAGGAAAAAAATTATACAGTCTTACTTTTAAGAAATCTGGTATTCAAAACCTGCATGTCATAATTTTGAGGTAAGAAATAATATGCTTTTATAGGAAAAAATGTAATAAACACAAGGATCACATTAGAGTTCTATGTAGTTAACTCAAAGCCTAATTCATACATATTGAGTCTTCATTTCAAATACTTTTAGCCCAAACTAAGTACTTTGAAGTGATTTTGTGCTATTCATTATCTTGAAAGAAAAAAAACCTCAAATAATTCCCTAAATAACTCATTCTCCAAAAAGATACATTAAATGAGGTCACTCTATAGAAAAGATGCTTTGATCATCTGCATTTTTGTGTAAAGAAATTAAAGAACCCATTTTTCTTTTATTGGGGGGTTGGGGATTGAACCCACGACCTTGAGTATATTATATTAGGTAAACACCTCTCAGTGAGCTACACATACAACCCACCCTGGGAGTGGGTGGCACCAACCAATATACTTGTGGCTGGAAAGGAATAAAAAAGGAAAGAGAAGCAAGTCTTGCTGCTTTTGGAGCGAAACCTCTACAAACTGAGCTAAACTAAACCTTCCTGTTTTAACTTGTGGATGTCGGGCATTTCATTCTCACAATGAGAAAGTAGCTAAGACACAACATTATAGATACACGCATGTACAATGAATGGATTTTCAAACTATGTTTGAGATGTGGCTCCCTAAGATTTACTCTGGTTAGAAGACAAAAAAGAGGAGATGGACAAAAAAAAAAGGAGAAGGAGAGGGAGGGGGGGAGAAGGAGGAAGGGGAGGAGGAGGGGGAGGAAGAGGAGGGGAAGGAGGGGGAGGAGGAAGAGGAGGGGGAGACGACGACCACAAAGAGAAACAAAATCTGGTTCTCACCTGCCACTGTCCCCTGCAGCAGTCACTGCTTCCTGTGCAAGTCGCAAGGCAGTTTCCCGGCTGTACCAAAACTGGCTCAGCTGCTGTAACAGAGATGTGTGGTGATGCCAGTTTAGAACTGGTATAAACTCTGCTCTTTTCATTAATCATACCTACTATACCAGGGTGTGCATGCTTTTTTTCTTTTGAAAATTCACTTCTGCATGAAATTAAAGTAACACAGCCCTAATGAGTTAATGAAACTAGGCATTGAGTATCAGTGGCTACTAACATCACCAAGGGAGCTGACCAAAAGCACCCCTCACCAGCTCACACAGAGCCTACAAGTTACAGCTTCAGCTTCATCTGACTGCTTCATCTCCTAGATGACATTCTAGACAGCCAATTACAGAACTGCTTCTTTTCTGACTCCCTGACACTGCGCACAAACCTGTATCACAAAACAATCTTCTTGTAAGCCCCTCTGCTGAAATGGTCCATGGCTTCCCACGGCGCAGTCTCTCACTGTAACAAGTAAAAGACCCTGTTGCGTGTGCCTGCCGCATGCTTCCTGGTGTGCTGGGCTGGTGGGCAGGAACATCTGGTTGTCAATTTTTTGTTTTCTTGTGCACTGTTGATATTATCTCCTTATCTTTCTCAGTGTTGTTTAAGTTAGCATCAGTACCTGTGGTCAGTTTTCTTTCGATCAAGAAATATATATTTTTAACATTTTCATTATTTTAATGCTTAAGTCCTGAATCCATGTAGACTTTAATTTGGTGTGTGGTTAATGAAGGCTGAGGTTTTTTCCTACCTCTAGGACACCGCAGCCTGGTTTCCCTGTCACTGGGCAGCTCTCCTAGACTCTTCCCCTCTATCTCTTGCCTTCATTTCCACAGTGCATATCACAAGCTATTACTCTCTCTGAGGATAGTTTGCTTTATTTATTGTTTTTTGTTGTTTTT